TTGATTCAGAAGAAAAAAACTAGCTCACTGAAACGGAAAAAGTTGATTTGTCTAGATAACTCATGTGATTAGCATAATGTCTCGTAAACGCCATTCCTTTTTACTGAAATGCACTAATTAGTACACCTACTATGTCGTAAATCGGTAGGGTCCTCCTGCTCATCAAGTCGATCTTCATCAACAGTCTCGAGTATCAGTTTGTTTTTCCAACTTTTTCATCTGGGCATTTTGGTATTTGCAATGCTTTGGTAGTTGGTCTAACTCCGAGTTTGACTACATGTGCACTGAAGCCTTCGCAAAATGTACTTCCACCCTACGTCATGGCCTTCGTACTACGCCACCAGCTTCTCCTCCGTTTTGCATGCTAGAAATGCATATTCCACTCTACTACTCTGACGTTTATGCAGGAATGGGAAAGACTCAGGCAGTACATAATTCTCATATGAGAATGGTGGATGATGTTGTCAACGTTGACGATGTCAGTACTAGGGAAATCAACACTTCTTCTGTATACATAACATGCGAGAAAGGGGAGTGTAAGTTTTGTCGTCCAAATGTAATATTCAATGCAGTGATGCGATAACTGATTTGGAAAGTAGCCTTCATAGCAAATCTCCTACCAAGCATTGGAGTGACACTGGAGAGCATGAACAGGGCAACCCTCTTGACAAAACCAACTGTGGGTGATGGGTAGGGCGATAGGTCAGACAGATCCATCTATTTCAGTTGAAGAAGTGCGGTAAATACTACTTAACAGGTGAATCCAAATAAGTAGTAATCTTTTAAGCTTGGTTTGCATTTTATTGAAACGATTATTCAAAAAAAAATGACAAATGGAAAAATATTTCTTCATTTCTTATCTACATCTTTTCATCGAGACAAATCCACACATTTCTTGGTTATCTTGCCACATGTTATGCAATTTCTATTTTCTGATGTAATTGTGGTGTAAGAGAGCACCTCCCGCACGTGCTGCGTTTGTACACTCAAGTGTGCCCACACTTCAATCTCTATTATCTCTTTCGCGATTTTATTGGCCTGATTGGAAGGTCGTGTGAATTTCAAGAGCCGCCCAACCATTCTATGCTTCTCTCGATGAGCCATTCTTTTGCAACACAATGTCTTCTCACGTTGTCGGACTCCACCCCCGCCTCCGCCTTTGGAGATAACTTAGTGGTGATGCAGAGCAGTAATACATTACAGCCTTATTGAGTGGGAGTATTCCAAATTACACTGTCCTGTATAGTGTTAAGAATATTATGTGCAGAAAACCAAAGGAATAAGAAGTTTTGAGAAGGATAAGTAATGCGCCCTTTAATCATCTAATCGTGTATACAAACCACTAACAACAGTGAAGAGATCAAAGATTCTCTTTGTATTATGGAAACAGACTTATAATGGTGCACAGCATTAGAGGCGCTTGAAAAACATATCGGTAACTGAAATATGACCACATGGAATTAAGTAGTATGTAATAAGTAGTAAATAAAATGCGATTTCTCATGACAATTGGATTAGTGAATAGACTGCAGGTAACATAACAAGAAGTGCAAAGTTCACACGAATTGGTGAGGGGGGAAAATAGTAAAAAATCACTCCCATGGCAGTAGCAGAGGTGGTGCAGCAGTAAGAGGAAGGCATAGAGTGAGAAAACGACTATTTAAATGTAGTTTTTGGTCCTACTTTTCTATTTATAAATCCACAGCCGTCAATTTAACCTTTACCTCTGTAGACGGTTGTCCGTTCTTCGTCTTCATGCTACTTTTTTCGATTTTATCTGCCACTGATGCTGTCAGCGTCTCTGGTGTTTCTGCACTTACAGTACTGCCTTGCAGAAACAAGACCTTAAACAGTAAAACAATGCCTCGAATTCTCTTCACCTCCTTACTGCCTTACACAAGTACACACGGCGACAAAAGCGGATTAAAAATTGTGGTTGACCCACTTCAAATCATCAACATGCAATGCGTTTAGTAAGAATAAATTAACTTATTTTGACTGACAAGGGGAAGGTGCTAAAGTGACCGGCATACTAGTAATTTCCAAGTTTTCCGCAGCTAACCAAAGAATACCACCAAACACTCAGTGTGAGTCATTTGGTCGTCTTGTCCGCGTGATTTCAGCCAAGAAGGAGGGAATGAACGAGATGGCAACACTCTAGACTGTTAGAAAATTAGCCACGAAAACATAAAAACTTCGACAATATCGAGCATGCACACTCTTCTGCGGGTTAAAGCACATTCAGCACCTACTTTTGCATATAAAGTAAGTTATCTCTCTTTTCTCTACATTTGTTTACTGAATCATCGGCATAGCACACAAGACCGGGTAAAGTGAGCCTTTTCCTCCATGGTATTTTGTGAAGCTGAGTCCACAAGTAGAGGCGGTATCTGAAAGGCATTCGCCAGTATGTCCATGGTTTTCAGTGAGTCGCAGACGCAAGTGATCATGACGCCTCCTCCACCTGTCTTTCCCAATCTTAACGTTGAATACGTCCTTCGTGTACCTGAGTTATAATATCCAGGAGATTCAATGATCGCATCTAGACAGATAATGGGTGTAAACTCTGGCAGCTATTTTTAATCTCGTTTAGACTCCCTCTACGTGTATTTAAAGCCGTCTTGTGGCCTTGAGATCATTGCTGCACTGACTAAGAGAGACTTGCTCTAAAATCAGCCCTTCAACTCGTTCAAACAGTATGTTGGTAGAAAGCTTTGTGAGGTATCGGGAGTCTCCACCTCCCTTAGTAAATTCACTATTGCTCCACTCTCTCCAGTTGTCCACTAGATTGACAAATTGCGTGATGAAATGTTGACAGCAATATTCATGGAACCGTTGCAATGCGAATTGTGTTCCTTTGTTCATGAATAACGTGTATGGAAGTCCGTGGTGGTTGAGGATTCGGTGCCGCAACTAGTAGTCTTGGTAGGCCTAGAGGCACTACTGTTGTTATCTATGACCACTTTGAAAATGCATCCACCAAAATGAGGCAAGAGATGCCATCGACTGATCGAGATGTAGTAGTAACCAGAGCTTCTCCAATTGGAACTAAGGCGTTGGTGGCCACAAAGTTGGTAAGCAAAACTTTTTACGACGAACTTCATGCAGTTGATTCCAGAACGATCGCAGTGAAAATGATGTATTTCCCTCAGGCCTCGTAGCTTGGACAATGCAACATGATTCCCAAACACCTGTCGGTCTTTGGCCATGCATGGTGAGTCAAAAGGTTGGGGTGGCAGTTTAAGGTCATCGGACTTTGTTGTCTGCCCAACTTCAGCGACCGTCACTGAGAGTGTTAGAATAGCATAGATAAATTGGTTCGAGGTTGGGTCCTCACCACAGATTGATGCTACCACAACGCCTTCAGTGCCTGGGTATTTGATGGCTGTCAACTTACGCATGATTATCTGTACGATGGAATTCTTCACTCGGGAAGAAGAGTGACTCGCGCTGAAGTCTACCTGCTGAGTGTGATGGGGTGTCAGCTTTAGAACAAACTATTGACAGCAAGAATTTGCGGCCTAAAGAAAGTGTAAAACTGCTTATGGAATCAACACATGGTGAATTTCATTGCCAGATGTTCTATTCTATACTCTCTCAATTGAGAATAGGCGAGGCGCACCATTGGAATCAGTGGGGAAATTATCGCATACTCTGATAATTTTGTTTATTTTTCTGCCCATAACAATGGGCGATGCCCATTTAGAGCACGTGTCTGAGGTCAGAACTCTTTCGTCCACAGGACCATGAGCTTCCGTGTGAGCTTTTGACGGTGAAATATGCCCTACCGATACGTTCGAGTGGAAGACTACTGTAGCACCACACCACAGTGTGGGATAGACCGAGTAGTGTTGCAGAGACCAAGTCTTGGTAGCAAAGATTTAAGAACAACACATCGACACAACTCGGCGACTGTTCCACTGATATTGTAGTCGAAGGTATCTGAGAGCAGATTGATTCGATTGGTAGTTCCTCTGGACTCACCTTGTCGAGCCAGTCAAGGCCAAGAACGTTAAAGTTCACTCTCGTGATATAACCCATTCCAGCCAGTAGTGTATCATAAAAAGAAAAGTAGCATTGAAGTTGTCTGGAGAGTTTCGGATAGCAAACACATACACAAGCGGCTGTTTGAGCGGTCTGATGGACCCAAGTGTTGTCAAGTGGTCACAGTTTTATCGCTGTAATGATGATGTCAGAATCGGTGACTAGTTGAAGCTGAATTGGACAGCCACTGAACCTTACGGTGGCTCACGCTCATCTCATTAAACAAGTTACAAGCTTTCACTGACCTGTTCTGACCACGTTCTTCCTGCTTTTTTGCTTCTCTCTTGAAATTGAATGGGCGGACAGACAGCATTATGCTGGCGATAGCTGTAATGTCTTTGGAGACGGTACGTGACAACAAAGGAGGGAGAGGCATTTTCATGTCTTTGTAAGTGGTGCGTTACTCTTGTATCAGTGGCCATTTGTGGAGGGGCTGAGTCTGTGGTGCGGACCAACAGCATGGAGCTCGCAACTGTCTTTGTCCTCAGACAGAAAAAAGTGGTATTGTGATTCGAAATGACTACATCTTAACACTGCTTGATTGTGTCGTCATAGAGGGTTCCTGCTCGCATGACCTCCGCAGACGAGTGCGGATACCTTGGTTGGTAGATGACTGCAAATGGCAGACGTAGGTGGGGCATTTAAATTAACTGTCGATCACTCCTACCTTGAAGCGGACAAAGTGATGATTGATCTCCCCTGTCTAAGCCACTTATTCCCTTATCTGTCGGTAGTAGTGCAGATCTATCAGTAAAAATTGCCCACAAAAAATTTTTAATAGCGCAATGGTATCATCGGAATTCAAATCTTTTAAGGATTTGGATAAAGTTAATTTTGCTTACTTCTGTAGTTCACCTATTCAGAGCTCCCACAGCATTGATGCTAGAAAACTTAGGCCGAGAAGCCTTCTCGTACTAGCTAAATCAGGATCCGGAATCTGGATAAGAAATTATCAAATTTAGTCGTATTGCTGCCAAAGGAGTCGACTGACTGGCACTATTGGTCCAACAGCGGTGAGGTCTGGACTCTAAATTTTAACAGCAGCTTCCACAGCCTATTGTGCCGGCTGAGGGACTCTCCGTTGCCAAATCTTATTAACCCGAATTTTTGTGCGTACGGCCTGGATCCCATTAATCTCCTAGCCAGATAATTAATAGATCACAGAGTAGACTCCGACTGTAACTGTATACGAGTAAGCACGGACTTATGCGATGCAAGTACGAGTTTGAAAGTCAACTAGCTGTAAAAGATGGATACCGAGTCCAAGTTACCCAGTGGTCTTCATCAAGCATATTTCGATTGAGTGATTGACATTAAAATTTGACGGGCCCTTGGAGGGCCTAAAGTGCAAGTAAACGTGGCCTCAGCCAATCGGGAGGAGGTCAGAGGGGAACGCGATTTATAAAAAGAGCGAGAAGTTGGAACACCCAATAGGGAAGTGTATGTGGAGTTGTGGGCATTTCTACCATATTGTCATTCCCTTTGCCCACATAAATAGGTGAAAAAATGATGCAAACCCTAGTAGTCGGATTGATAAAGACTACTAACAAACGGGTTTGTAATGCCTTTGTAATAAAATTAGACATAATTAACGATACTTTCCTTCGTTTCAAATGCAAAGTACGACGCAAAAAATGCCCAGCACATCCTAATGACTACTGATTTACAGGATGACGATATGTGAGGTCAAGTTTTGGTGAAAATGTGCTTTTGCAATCCTTAATAAGCACGTACCTCCAAACGTGCCTGTTTGTTATCTCACTGACATCTAACATGTCTTTTACGTTGCTTTTCCTTTTTATCGCCTTTCGTTTTATTCTCTGTGCATAATGTGTCTACTTAACGGTATAGAGTACAGTGGAATTGGGAAATCGGCCGACAGTTGCTGTCATTGTGGCGTAATTCTGCTGAGCCCACTCCCGAGTCATCCCAGACGCCGGGGCGGTGGTGCTGATGGAGTTCGAGGACGCAATAAAGCCTGGTATTGGATAAGAATGACTTACCACAAGAGCATGGAATGATTAGACGACTCTTGATATTTACATGATATTCCAGGCATACCGCCAAAACTATGGGATAGACCCTGGAGACGAAGGTGTCTGCGCACCTGTCTATGCAAATGCAGTACTAAAGGCGTTCTGCTACACCCTAATTTCAGCTGGACATACAAATTGCATTTCGTGTGGCAAGATGACAAAGCTACGTGTGATTTTGTCCTGATGATGCTACATAAAAGAGAAATAATAGTATCAACAAATTACAAGACGGAAAGAAGGAGCTGCTACTTAATTAAATTTTTTTCTTCAGTAGTGTCTCCCCTACCTTTTATCGGTGGAGCAAATAACTGAACTGAACTAGACTGAGGTGTTTGACCACCGTCCTACCCAACACACGCAGTGGGTTCAGTCTGGAGAGGTCACTCTGTCTAATCTATCTACTGTCATTTATTTAATCAGAAGATGTGATGAAAAAGATATATTGCGGTTCACTTCCTCTTGGCAACAAATAATTGCCGAATCTACGCCGTCCTTCCTCGTTCATAATGCCTCTGAAAGAAGGGTTGACTTCGTCAACAATGCTGTAATCGACGCTGAAAACTTCACCTAATATCTCTCATAGAAAGATGAAGAACTGCGCTGCGTCTCATGAAGGCCATGGCCTAAGCGGAAGTACAGTCTGTGGAGAATTAAGTGCCAAGGCAGTCGATTGCAAAGTTAAACAAACCATCAAAGCGCAGTAAATGTTATGCGCTTAATCTTTTCGGTTAACAAAACGAGTTTAAACCCGAGATTGTAGGCTAATATGCCGCTGCCAAGTTGCTTGGCTTTATTAGCAGGAGGAGCCTACTGATTTGTTACCTTGTGGGTGTGCTAATTAGTGCATTTCAGTAAAAAGGAATGACATTTATGAGCTGTTTTGGCGAACCAGCTTTTTTCCGGTTTCA